AAAGTCTTAAAGCTGTCAAGTTACAAGACCCTTGCATCCCTAACCCTTTAGAAAAAAAACCAGGGATGCTCAAACTTGACAGCTTTAAGACTTTAAGGTTTAGATAGGACTCTTAGAGGCAGGCGGAACGATAGATGAGCCAGCCAATCAGTGAGCGGTGGGTGAGGCAAGCGTGGTGTGGACGGGCGGTGGGAGGGAGCTGGAACCGGTTCTAAACAGCACACTAGATTTGTGGAACCTCTTCTATAGAAGAGGTTAGAACTGGCAGGAACCCACCCCTTGTCAGAACCATTCTCTTATAGCCTTTGGCATGACTGTTCTCACCATTGTTCCATTGGTCCCTTCATCCAAAACTCAGACATACAGTCCAGTACAAAATAGGCACATTTGTCTTTATATACTCCATTCAGCTTTAATAAATTATTTTGGCTTATTGTGTCTTGTCATCCTATTTTTTGCAATTTAGAAATATGCTAAACCATATTCTCCTGAGGAAGATCATATGAGCACTTGGAGGTGTGTCATATCCTTGGATTTTATTTCTTTAAGGAAGGTTACTTATTGAACTATTAACTTAGAAATGAGAGACCATTACACATTCAGAGAATAATTACTTACTTTGAAACTACTTGGTTTGGAACAAAACGTACAAATGTGGATCTCATAAAAAATACAGACGGGTGGGCTTTATGACTTACTAGCTTTATTTTTATTTTTAGTGATTTTATTAAGGCTTATATTAATTAACAACATTCCATTTATTCTCAAATTTAGCTGAAAATTATAATAGGTATACTGGAATCATGCAGATTTCTGTATAACATGCTCTATTTGACTGTTGCTGTTTAAGAGACCTAATCTAGTCAAGCACCTATCCATTTCAATTGAACAGTAAATTCCTTCAAACGCTCTTCAACACTTAATGTGGAAAATCTGTGGATTTAATATTTGGCCGACCAAATTATTATAAACTATCTCTGTCTTACTGTGTTCTCTTATTTCCATTCAGGCTTGAACACCTCATCCCACAAACATGCATCGGCGACACACCACCCTCCGGGAGAAAGGGAGGAGGCAGGCCATCCGAGGCCCAGCCTATATGTTCAATGAGAAAGGCACCAATTTGACATCCGAAGAAGAACGTTTCTTGGACTCAGCAGAATATGGCAACATCCCAGTGGTACGGAAAATGCTAGAGGAATCCAAAACATTGAATTTCAATTGTGTTGATTACATGGGACAAAATGCCTTGCAATTGGCAGTTGGCAATGAACATCTGGAAGTCACCGAACTTCTTTTAAAGAAAGACAATTTAGCAAGGGTTGGAGATGCCCTTTTGTTAGCCATCAGTAAAGGATATGTACGAATTGTGGAAGCAATATTGAACCATCCAGCCTTTGCACAAGGGCAGCGTCTCACTCTAAGCCCACTTGAGCAAGAATTACGAGATGATGATTTTTATGCTTATGATGAAGATGGAACACGCTTTTCCCATGATATTACACCTATTATACTTGCTGCTCATTGCCAAGAATATGAAATTGTTCATATATTGTTACTGAAAGGGGCACGGATAGAAAGACCTCATGACTACTTCTGTAAATGCAATGAATGCAATGAGAAGCAAAGAAAAGACTCATTCAGTCATTCTCGATCAAGAATGAATGCCTACAAAGGATTAGCAAGTGCGGCTTATTTGTCTCTATCTAGTGAAGACCCTGTCCTTACAGCTTTAGAGTTAAGCAATGAGCTGGCAAGACTAGCCAACATTGAGACAGAATTCAAGGTAATGTAGAAAACTTCTAAATTTATATCTTTATTTTGTCCAATTGCTTTTGTGCTCTCACAATATTCCTTGGTCTAGATTAGATTATATGTTGGAATATGGAAGTGAAGTCTATTGGTATGCAGTATGAACAAAGAAATATATTAGATTTTCTTATCTGCATTCTTTAGTTGTGACCTTGACTTGAGCCAGCCATCTGAAATACATATGCAATATATTCTTCCTATAAAGGAAACATGTCTGTATAAAATAAGTCAGTAACAGGAAATCTGATTTCAATCTTGTTTTCTTCTACATCTTTATGCTGAGAAAAGAATTTCCACTTGACAGGTTGACAGAATATAATATTTTTATATTTTCCAGTTGTAAAAAGATGCATATTTTACAGACTGTTTAAAAAAAAAACTTACTGTAAAAAATCACTGTGGCTGTCTGTATTTTATTAAAAAGTAAAGAGTTGAAGAGAGACTGCAAGGTTCATTCTTTTTTAAAAAAATGTAAAGTCTTCTTTTGATGTTTAGTCACTATCAGGTTATTATCCAGTCTTAAAATGACTTAAGGCACAGGACTGTTATGAGAAAGACAATGATAACAGAATATTACCAATTTTGCTTGAAAGATTGCAAGTATTGAAATTAAAGCATGAACACTCCTATTTATGTGACTGCTTCCTTAATTTTGGGTATTCTTTGATATTAGTGGCTTTTAGGTCCCTGATTCATTTTGTTTTTGGATTGTGAGAATTGCATCTTGCCTATTGCTTCTGTTTATCGTGTACCTTTTTTTGTGTGCTATTTGGAGCCAGGTACCATTCTGATGCTAGTGAAATGTGATTCATATAACCTAGAAGCTAGAGATGTCACACTTACTTAATGTCTAAGGACAACTTTTAGCTTGGTAGTTGGATGGAGAGCATAGCACGACAATGAGATGTTGTTGGTAGTGCCTTGGGATACATTTGTTCAGACTACAACCTCAGCTTATAACCATAAAGGCCTTTCATTAGTACCCAGATAGTTTAAATGTGTTCATATGGGCTTAAAATCATGCTTTCCTAAGGTTTAACTACCCCAGGTTAAACCAGGCATGAAATGCTCTAATCTTCGCTACCAGTTCGGAACTGGGAACTCACGCGTGGCGCTTCTGTGCATGCACAGAGTGTCTGTGATGATGTCTGGTTGGGTGGGCATCACTGCCACTACTGGTTCAACCAAACCAGGGCAAACTGGCAGAATACCACTTCTAAATCCTAAAATAGAAATGAGAAGGAGATATCAATCATATTTAAAATGAAATGAAAGAGTCAGAATTGAGCGATAGGACACAAATACTGGAATATTTTGCCTATTTTACCTTTGATGGAG